GTGTGGCTGTTTATGCAGTTGCATGACTGCGCTGAGGCTTCACTGTTGTTGGGTTAGATGGAGGGGTAGGTGAGGGGGTTGGAGACGAGGAAGCCAAACACACGTACACACATGTTCACACACACAACCTTTCACTGTTCATGCAGCGCTGGAGTGAAGGACAGAAAGCGAGGCTAGCAAACAGACAAACGGTGAGAGAGCAAGAGATGAAAGAGTCTCTGCACAGTCCTGTCTGTGTATTTCAGACAGAAACACAGACACACACACACACAGACTCACAGATTGTTAAATTAAATGCATTAAATGCTGTACATGTATGTTTGTCTCTTTGTGTATGTGTGTGTTGCACAGAATTAATGACAGTCTTAATTGGTGCAAGCAAATATCCCTCCCACTGCTCCTCATTTTCCATCTACTAATGGAAAGACATCCCCTCCTTGAAGACATCTGGGAGAAATGGTTTTGCAATGCATTTGATGAACAACAGTGTGCACATGTCCCCACAAAGTGATGAATCCATGGTACTCACACAGTTTGCATGCATAATAATAATATCAGAATCAGGTTTTTTGGCCACTACATTCAGCTGCAAACTCTCTCACACAGAAGTACACATATAGACCAACATACTTTGTATACAAAGTCTTGTTTTTCACTAAAATTACAAAAAATATCTTAAAGTTAAATGAGCCAGATCAGATGTATACTGAAGAAATTAGATGCTGCAACTCACTGCCTTTAAACTAGGCACTGTAAATGAAGCATAACTCTGCACCTGCAGTGTCTAGCCCTTGTCACAAAAGTAATTCAGACTCCAGTTTTCTTGGAGAGATTTGGAGATATTTGCCTTTTCCAGCTGCTGTCATGTTTTTCTGGCATGAAAAATTTGGAAGCTTAGACCAGTGACAGTTTGAGGAATGATGTATTAGGCATGTGGACGAAATTAATATTGATGAGTTGAGTAAAGCTGTGTGAAGCTCATAACTGTATTATAGAAGGTAAAAATAAAATAAATAATAAATGTGTACTCATTGGAAAAAGTACCATTATTACAATAAGAAAGAAAACCTCAACTTAATTATGAAATCCTTGAACATGCATAACACATGCAAATCTATTTCTTAATGCATGCTGTGCAATCAGAACACACTTACATATACTGTAACACTATAAAGTGTAGTGTTTGGAGCATGTGGGACTCATTTTTTTTTTTGTAAATGCCTCTAAGTCAAAAAAGAGGAGTAGAAGTCCCACATAGGAAGTTAATCGAGGATATTGTTATATGGTGTGTGTGTGGTTGCTCACTGCAAACACATGCAAAAATCTCAGGTTTCACTTTCATGTTTACAAGCTGCCCTTTGGCTTCTCTCCCCCATGGAAAGCCTGTGGCGGCTGCAGCTGAGGCGACACAACAATTAATAATTCTGTCTACACACAGTTCACTGCCTTTCCCCACCCATGGCTCCTAGTGCACATCTGGCTGTCCCTGAAGGGGAGATCTCGCTCTGAATGGACAGTCCTGTCATTCCTTCTTTTTTTTTTTACTCACACTGAAGGTGTTAGTGTTTGTCTTGCTTTATTTTTTTGTTATTTTTTTCCTGTCTTCATAGAAAGTTGAGGCTGAGTTCGAAGCCTGTGCTGTTATGGGTCTGATAAAGCCCTTTGAGACACTGTATAGTTACTAAAAGTAGCAATATAATGATATATAAAATTCCTTATTAAACTTATAGGTACTGCATTCAAAATTTACTACCAAATGTGCAGACAGGAACAATTTAAAATTTTGGAAGTATTTGTCGAGTGTAAGATGAAGCTGAGGCCAAATCACTCAAATCTTAACATACAGACATGACACGCATTATTTCAAGAAGAAGGTGTAGCATATTTGAAAGCTTTTTTGCCTAATTCTGTTCTAACTTTGGGGACCAACAATGGTTACAATCAGAATTCCTGGTAGGTAGATTTTGTTAACTCTGGACAGAGCCAGGCTAGTTGTTTCCCCCAGGTTCCAGCCTTTATGCTAAGCTAAATTAGTTGACTCATGGCTTTTCTTCCTCTAAATCTGAGCAAGTGTAATTCATAAGTGTAAGTAGGCAATTAATTTACCATTGTATTAGCATTAATATCACTGTTTAATATGTTTTCAGTATACAATCCTTTGCTGTAAGCAGCTAAGACTGATAGCTGTTAGACAGAGTTGGTGCCAGGACAGATTAAACAGGTTTTGACAGGAGGGCACTGTGATCATACAATGCCAATGGATCTCAAAATATTTTCAAACCAGTACACTTAATAATGCCCCCAGCTGTCACAGGCGTAGAGGTACAGAAAATCCAAAAACATCTGATATCCACTTGAATAAAATAAGTGACTATTGAAAAAGCACCTGTCACTAGTTTATAGTTGTAATCTATAAGCACACACTTACTGTATAGCATTAGCATGGTGCATTACTTGCTTGAACCACTTTCTTTAAACCTTTTGCTGTCTTTTGTTACTGCCCATGCTGTTTACACAAATTACACAAATTGGCACCGATTGTGGCTAGAAAATCTACAGATACACTCAGGTACAGGTGGGCACAGATATTTGTGATTCAAGTTGGAAAATGTGACTTTCTCCTGTGGAATTCTCTTTCCTATATATAAATACACATGTGCTGTCTTATTAGAGGCTAGACACTGCCACTCAGGCTGAGCCTCTGAACTTTGTGTCCATCCTTGATTTTCTACCTCTCAGATGGAGGAGTCTTCTGTGGAAAAAATCTGAAAAGAGGCAGCTCAAACTGAAAGAAAAAGACCACATCAATTCCAACAAGCTGCTGCACTTTGGAGCCCAAATTGCCTGTGACACACATGGAAAATTCCCTTTCTTCACAATATGACACTTCACCTGCCATCTCCCCTGGGTGGTGGTTGATCAGTGACAAAAACAAACAGGGGAAAAGTGTTAAGGAACAGAATGTCCTATTTGGAAACTGTTAGTGCCATTCTCTGCTAAAAATATCCAATATCATCCTTCTTCTCTTCTCACTAGGAGTAAATCTATGTGAAACATGAAATAAAGATTACATTTTAACATACAAAGACTCTGTGGAGCTGTCAGGCTGGATTTACAAAACGAGACAAGTTGGGCTTTGCAGCCATGCAGTGGTTGTCATATAAGACTAGGTCACTGTTGGTCAGAACTACTTTGATGCTGTTCACATGTTATTTACATCACCACCCTCCTGCCATGTCTTATTCCCAACAGGTTTGTTTTGTGTCCATATGTTTTCATTTTTGTGCGTGGCTGTGTCGTTATGTGTTTAGAGGCCTGTCTCCCTGATGTCCCATCATTACAAATTATCATCCCACAGTCATCCGTGAGACACGATTTCCTTTAAACAGTAGCAAACTAGCTCACCTTGCTGACCCCCAACCTCTCAGCAGAACAGAACACTCATGTGTACACAAACACATGCACTTTTAAATACACACCAAGTCTCCGCAGCTCATCCTCCATCAGGGCTGGGGTGATGACACAGTCTCTTTACAGCATGTTGCTGCTTATTTAACTGCCTCCAAATAACTGGGGCCAACTGCTTGTCAGTGCTGCTGTTCTAGCTAAACCTTAACTGTTGAATAGTGGGAAAGATACAAACTAACACTAATGATTTACCTGCCAAGAGATAAAAAACATGGAAATTATTGTGAAAGCCTCAGACCTGTCTTTAGCAGTAATGATTGTAATTTTGTTGAAATGAAGGAGTTGGAGAGTTTGGCTGTTCTACTTTGAGTACCAGTGATAATGCAGCTGGCTCCACTTACGTGGTCCATCACTGCAGGATACTGTCTATTCAGATCTGTGGTGTATTGGCTAGAACATAGCTTCAACATTTTACTGTCAATGTTTTGGGTAACAGTCATGCTTTTCTGATTTTGTCTTCTTTTTTGGGCCAATCATTCAGTTGTTGTTGTTGCATGTGTCAATCACCCGTCAGACAAATGTGGTGCCCTGCTTCAATACATTTTCTTTTTGTTGCTATAGTATTGTACAGTGATGAAAGTACTCAGATCCTTTACTGAAGTAAAAGTACAATCCATCCTCCAAAGTGTCAGTGGACCGAGGTGGAAGTGACAAAAAAAAGACAGAAAATGAGATAAACCTCAGAAGCTAAAATTATAAAATTATTAAAAATATCATCTTGACATTTGATTCTTTAAGCTTTGTAAAATGATCAAACATGTTCAGTTCATTTTTTTAATCATAAAATCAGTCAAGTTTGTGCAGCAATCTTAAGCTACATCATGACGCCTTGCACTGTGCAACATACTGTAGATGAAATACCACATTTTATACAAAAAACAAAGTTTTTGTATATTTGTTAAGGGAGCATTTTGTTCTGAATAAATCAGAATTAGGTGTTAAGATGGCAGAAAAAAGTTGAGACTGTTATAGCTGAGGCCCTATTTGACTAATGATTACAGCAGCATGACTAACCTCTCTAATAGGAGGTGACTGGTGTGACTCAAGTGATCCCAGGAGAGGAAAATCTAACATTCAGCAGTCAGCCAGAGCTCCCACCCTCAACCACAAACAGCCCTTTTCTCCACAAAGGAGCTGCAGTGCTCCGGAAACAAGCATTTAAATTTTACAGCCTACAGGATCCTGGGAAATTATGAATCCAACTTGTGTGCCATCCCTCTGGATCACACAGCACATCAAGTACCCAAGCAGCAGTGACGCATCTCCTCCATCGTACACAGATAACACATCTGCAATCTAGAGATGGATGGCTGGTACAAATCAGACTTTTCAAAGTCAACTAGTCAGTGGTTTCTCTGGACAAAAAAATGTTAGTTTGATCATTTCCAGAAAAAAAAACTATGTTTAGGTTAGATTTAAGTGAGAGTAGGATTCAGAAATCATTTATCCACCGTATATACATAACGAATGTTAATTGAAAGGCACGACAAGGAAGGACGCTAGTCTGGACGACTTCATATTGGAACGTGTCCCGTAGACGAACTAGCACATTTTACCCAGAGGTGCTTGCTCCTTCTGTGTGTGCTGAGTGTTCATGCTTTTAATGTTACTCTGCGTAACAGAGATGTTGTCCAGCATTCGGTGTTATCTTCTACCAGTTTTCAAGCTTTACCTGCTTGGTTTGAAGGTTCTTTTGGTTCAGCTGTTCGGCAGATCTTTCAGATTGCCAGGTCGGTTCAATTCTCAATAGGGTGTTGTGGTTTACGGACACGGTATCATTGAGCAATGTGTTCCAGTTAGTTGGTCTTGTGACTACTGTAGGGCGTTGTAGATGCATAACATAACGTTAATGACTATATCCAAGAGCCCTTATTCATCCCGTTGTGCAGTAACGCTAAGCTAAGCTAACGTTAGCTGTTTTAACCGTAGCTAGTTTGAGAGAAGTGTAAAAGTCGAAACATGAGTGACATAAAGTTCTGTCTGGTGTCTTGTATCTGCCGAATTCACCAGAATAGCCTAAAGATTGTTTTTAATCTAAAGTATGTTCTCCAAAACGTGTGCGTGTGTCGCAGAGCGACGTGGGTTTAAGTTTCCACTTTTTTAATAATGTAGTTTGGATTGGAGTGAATATTGACTGCAGTTAAGACGAGTGATATAAAATTTGATTATCATCCAGGGAGCTAGATATAAATATAGCTAGATAATAGTGTAGTATATAATATACATTATATAGTATAGTAGTAGTAATATAGTAAAGTCCATTAACTGTAAAACACTTCTGTAAGAAGCTAAGGACACAGGAATTTAAAAACCAAGATATAGCCCCTCCAAGTTTTACTGACCACATTGATCTAACTATAAGGACGTATCATGTCTTGAAATAGCAGCCTATCTTGAAGTAGTTTCCTTATCAAATAGCACTCTCCCCTGATATCTGTGTGCCTTCTTCTGCCTCTGCTAGTGATGCCCAGACAAGATGGCAAGGTTGCCATAGTGACAGGAGGAGTCAGGGGAATCGGCTATGAGGTAGTCCGCCACATGGTCAAGCTGGGGGCGCATGTTTTCATAGGTACAGTACCAAACATCACTGATGCACAAATATGACACAAGATACAATGTCTAACAGTAGTAACACTCATTACGTAGAGATTTCCCCAAAGGTCGGCTTTCATCTTGTTAACTTTCCAAATGTACAAAAACAGCTAACAATAATGATGACCTTTGTGCTTTACAATAAATAACCAGAAAAGGCTGCAATACGGAAAGAAATGAAATGGCTAATAAACTCTAAAAACTGAGGGAAAATACTGTAGAAAACAAAAGATGAATGGATGAAGCCCATTCAACTATAAAGGTAGGTAGGTAGGTGAAAGTGAATTTTGAGAAAACCGCAGGCTCACTCAGTTTCCTGACTCATCAACACCCTTGAAAATCCTGCTCTCT